TTTAGCTGTTTTGTAACACCAGTGTTGATCATTGATGCAAAACAATGGAGCCAAAAATTATTTCGGAAAACGAAAAGTTTACACCGCGAGCATATCAAATAGATCTATTTGAAAGGGCAATACAAAATATGATACTGTATTTGCCAACTGGCGCGGGAAAAACATACATAGCTGTTATGCTTCTGAAACATCTAAGTCATGATGTACGCAAGTATGTAACTCATGGAAATATTTTTTTTTTGTGATGATTTGGGTCTTTCTTCAATCACCATAATAGGTATTTGGCATTATGTACACAATGGCTTTAAAAGTTTCTTTCACATTTAGACCTTATCAAGAAGGTGGAAAACGTAGTATATTCGTTGTAAATACAGTAGCTTTGGTTGAACAACAATCAATATATATAAAAAGGCATACAGATTTAAAATGCAAAGGTTATAGTGGAGACATGAAGGTGGATTTTTGGTCAGAACAACAATGGATAACTGAAATAGAAGAACATGAAGTATGAATTTGCATTATTATTGATTCTAATTTTCTCCTTGAATAATTAATGGATTACAATAATTTTATATTATCCAGATTTTAGTAATGACATCGCAAATCTTCCTGAATTTGCTCATTCACAGATATATAATATTAGAAAGAATAAATTTAATCGTGTTTGACGAATGTCACAGAGCTGTATCTAACCATCCTATGAGACAAATTATGAAACAATTTGAAAATTGTTCCAACGAAGAGCATCCACGTGTTTTAGCTATGTCGGCAACATTGTTGAACGCTAATATAAAAGCAGATAAAATAGAATCTACGATTAAAGTAAAGAATGACATTTTATTATCTTATCATTGATCTCTGCTATGACATGCTTAATCAAGTTTAATCACATCGTTATGAAACTGACCATAATTGTTATATTCTTCCGAGGAACTATGATTAGCTAATTTCATAACTATGAATGTTATTAAACTCGATTAAGCGTGCTGTATAGCAGAGATTAATAGTAATTATGATCCTTGGACATCTTAACATTATCATTATTTGTAGGATTTAGAAGTAACATTTCATGCGAAGATAGCAACTGTAGAATCAACAGATTCTATCCACGGCTGCTATACAAATCCT